CCACCATCGAACAGGCAATCTTGTTGTTACACCAGCTGAGCCATCCTGCCACCTGTTGGCAGCTCAGCGACAGCTCAGCTCAGGCGCAGCATCACTGGCCAATGTGGGAATTGAACCAGCGGCCCTGTTGCTCAGAGCTCGCGCTCTTAAGCCAGCTCTTAACCAACTGAGCCACTCGGCCCGCCCTATATTTAGAAATTTTTGACAAATGAATTACATCACAAAAGTTTGTCAGATTTTTATTATTCATCTCAATTGTGAAATGAAACGGGTAAAGAACAATGCAATTTAAATCTATTTTTAAAAAGCTACACTTTTTTTTGGGCCTGCCAAGTGGCATGTTGATTAAGAGTTGGCTTGGGATGCCAGCTCTGAACAGCAGGGCCCAGGGTTGGATCCCAGAAATGAGGGCCAGTGACGCTGCGCCCTCTATAGCTAAGATGGTGAACAACAGCTTGACCTGGAGCTGGGCTGCCATGAGTCGCTGGTGACAGCATAGGCTGCAGTGGGGCTGGCCAGCTAGCCACCGATCACTCAGGAAGAGCGCAATGATAATACCAACATGGGTCAGTGAAGCGACATCTTCCACAACTAGATTGAAGAACAAAAGGACATCAACTCATTTGTTCCCCTTCCCACTATTCCCCAATGCTGTTCCCCTCCCCCAATTCCCTAATAAAATCTTTTAAAAAAAAATGTTACTTTTTTTTAAAAAAACGAGTAGTTGGTGACCTAAATTTTCACATGCCTCAGGCAATTTTCATATTCAAGTGCGCATCCCCAGGATTGACATTGGCACTCCTTCATTAATTAAATTCTAATTGCAAGAGGCATTCCTGGATCCAAAGATCCCCCCCACACACACACACACATCAAGTACAGGTCTCCACTCCTTAGCAAAAAAGTTTTAACTAAAATCGTTTACACCTGTTAAAATCGTTTACACCTGTTAAAATGTAGACATCTCAGCTTTAAGCACACTCAACTATAAGCTTCTACTTAAACTCTTTGAAACATCAACTTGAAACAGGCATGAAGGAGTCCTGCCATACAACACGCGACGGAAATTCCGCAGGTTCCAAATTAGGAAAATAGAGGCACCTAGAGAGCGAGGCGGAGCCCAGGTTCCGCCCCCCGCCTATACGCCAGCCCCGCCCCTCTCCCGCTGCCCCACCCTCCTGAGGTCTCCCTCAGGGCTTACACACTGTACACGCCCCGCCCATTTCTAAGTGTGATTGAATCACGACCCGCCCTGTCCGCGAGTTTCACGCGGCACGCACGCGCAGTTTGTTGCAAACCGGGAAGCTGCTGTCTGGGACCGAAGATAACGCTGGCGTTCTTGACTTTCGGTCTTTCTAGTTTAAACCTGAGCGTCTCAGTCCACCGTCCTACACTCCTGACGCCTGGGGGTCAGTACC